GTCTAAGGACAGAGGGTCTAAGGACAGAGGGTCTGAGGACAGAGGGTCTAAGGACAGAGGGTGTCGTATTTTCATACTGATATTCTGTACAAACTGTGAAGACCACTGAGACAAATGTAACATTTGTGATATTGGGCTATATAAATAAACATTGATTGATTGATTGATTGATTGATTGATTGTTAGTATTATTAGATCTCAGCGCTGCGTTTGACACTGTTGACCAAATATGACACCTTCGGGGTTCCTCAAGGTTCCATCTACATGCTACCACTGGCTCAGATAGTGAAACACACAAAATAAGTTACCATAGCTGCACTGTTGACCACAACATATTACTAGACCGACTGGAAAACCGGGTGGGACTTTCGACAACAGTTATAAACTGGTTTCAATCCCACTTAAATGACAGGAAAAAGGTTGTTTCTATAGGTAACTACACATCAGAGTGGACAAATATGACACGTGGGGTTCCTCAAGGCTCCATACTGGGGCCTCTTCTCTTTAACATCTACATGCTACCACTGGCTCAGATAATGAAAATCAACTAAATAAGTTACCATAGCTCTGCAACACAAACATTTACATAAACTGAGGTAAAGGTTTTTGGAGCCAAGGCAGAATGTATAAAAGTTAGCGCTGAGCTTCAGTCTGCAATGTTCAAAACAACAGATAGAGCCAGAAATCTAGGTGTAGTCATGGACTCTGACCTGAGTTTCAACAGTCACATTAAAACAGTTACTAAATCAGCCTACTATCACCTAAAGAATATATCGGGTTAAAAGACTAATGTCACAGCAGGATTTGGAAAAACTTGTCCATGCTTTTATCTTCAGTAGACTCGACTACTGCAATGGTGTCTTCACATGTCTCACTAACACATCTATTCATGGGCGGCACCAGGATTGTTTTGCTGCAGTAGCTTAGCAGTTGCTATATGACAGCACGGCGTTGCTAGTTAATTGCTAGTCAAAATAAATAAACAAACAATACCAGTGGGCCAAACACGAGCCTGTTCATATTGTAGCGTTCACCGCTATTCAAGATCACAGATCACGAGCCTTCAATGTCCAAAACGTTCTCTTTATTTTCTGGTATTGACGGCCACAGCCACGCCTTACAGGACCAATCAATAGTATAACACTCATTATGACTTTTCCCCGCACTCGAACACAACTCCTACCGTCTCGTACTCCCTCCACACACACCGGAAAATGCACACACCTGGAAGGGGCGGTCTCTCCCTAACTCCCACCAACAACAACATTGCTTAAATAACTTTACAAATGCACTAAACTGTGCACATGTGATAACTGACATAACTATTAACTTGGACACGCTACAATATTATCCTTAATATTTACATTAAAACATTCCTTTGACACTTATAACATTACTTTGCAAGGTAAGCACAACCAAAATAAGTTTGTAAAAGCAGAATTTGAACACTGTTTCTGTGCTCCTACAATATTTTTGTATAATACCATTACACCCTGAGCGGCGCGGCTCAGGTTTGGGAAGGCTGAATAACTTTTTTTACCTGACGCTGCCCGCCTCCGGCGTCAGAAAAGAGATCGACTCAGTGAAAGCACCGCCTGCTGACCAATCAGAGCTCAGTGTGCGGAGTTTAAATCTATCAAGTCATATTACAGGATAAAGGAAATGCAGTTTAAACTGCCGTATGCAGAGAAGACGCCGACGTGTCGCACTTATCATTCATATCACACTGACATCACATCATCAATCAGATCATCGATCTCACTTCATAATGTATCATATATTTCCTGATCTGAGTCAGCTGAGCCGTATCTGGCCGTGCAACACTCACAGCGTCACAGACTGGATGCAGAAGTATTATTTGAAGCAACACATTAAGTTGAGGAAACACTGGAGTCAAATGTAATGAAAGTCAGATGGTGTCTTAGACGGGCAGTGATATCATAAAGCTGTTAATGTACGCATTCAAACACTTGTTCTGTTCCCAGCTGTATTCTCCTTGCAGGTGCAGCTCTGTGGCTTTGATCCTGGATCAAGTGTTTAAGTCATCATGGATGTTTAAAGTTCATATTTGTCTAATATTAGTTTACTTTTCATTAATGAAGTATGACGCTGCGCTGTCAGTACACTTGTCCCTGTTTGTGATTGGTCAAATGTTGCTAACCCCGCCCCTTTCACGTGAACGCGCTCTCAGCTGGAGAGAGAAACCCTGGCTTGATTTACCGAGTTGATAACCAGCGCCGTAGGACCGTTTAGCGAGATCTCGTTTGTTAGGGTTAGTTAAGATAACTCAAGCATATCCAGGGTCTGTTGAACTGGCTTCGTGGTACAGGGCACAGGTGGCTGCATGGCAATGTTAGTCAGATCTCTCAGGTCTTCTGGTCTGCTCTCTGTCCCCAGAGTCAGATCTCTCAGGTCTTCTGGTCTGCTCTCTGTCCCCAGAGTCAGATCTCTCAGGTCTTCTGGTCTGCTCTCTGTCCCCAGAGTCAGATCTCTCAGGTCTTCTGGTCTGCTCTCTGTCCCCAGAGTCAGATCTCTCAGGTCTTCTGGTCTGCTCTCTGTCCCCAGAGTCAGATCTGTCTGGTCTTCTGGTCTGCTCTCTGTCCCCAGAGTCCGATCTCTCAGGTCTTCTGGTCTGCTCTCTGTCCCCAGAGTCAGATCTCTCAGGTCTTCTGGTCTGCTCTCTGTCCCCAGAGTCAGATCTCTCTGGTCTTCAGGTCTGCTCTCTGTCCCCAGAGTCAGATCTCTCAGGTCTTCTGGTCTGCTCTCTGTCCCCAGAGTCAGATCTCTCAGGTCTTCAGGTCTGCTCTCTGTCCCCAGAGTCAGGTCTCTCAGGTCTGCTCTCTGTCCCCAGAGTCAGATCTCTCAGGTCTTCTGGTCTGCTCTCTGTCCCCAGAGTCAGATCTCTCAGGTCTTCAGGTCTGCTCTCTGTCCCCAGAGTCAGATCTCTCAGGTCTTCAGGTCTGCTCTCTGTCCCCAGAGTCAGGTCTCTCAGGTCTGCTCTCTGTCCCCAGAGTCAGATCTCTCAGGTCTGCTCTCTGTCCCCAGAGTCAGGTCTCTCAGGTCTTCAGGTCTGCTCTCTGTCCCCAGAGTCAGATCTCTCAGGTCTTCTGGTCTGCTCTCTGTCCCCAGAGTCAGATCTCTCAGGTCTTCTGGTCTGCTCTCTGTCCCCAGAGTCAGATCTCTCAGGTCTTCTGGTCTGCTCTCTGTCCCCAGAGTCAGATCTCTCAGGTCTTCTGGTCTGCTCTCTGTCCCCAGAGTCAGATCTCTCAGGTCTTCTGGTCTGCTCTCTGTCCCCAGAGTCAGATCTCTCAGGTCTTCTGGTCTGCCCTCTGTCCCCAGAGTCAGATCTCTCAGGTCTGCTCTCTGTCCCCAGAGTCAGGTCTTCAGGTCTGCTCTCTGTCCCCAGAGTCAGGTCTCTCAGGTCTTCAGGTCTGCTCTCTGTCCCCAGAGTCAGATCTGTCTGGTCTTCAGGTCTGCTCTCTGTCCCCAGAGTCAGATCTCTCAGGTCTTCAGGTCTGCTCTCTGTCCCCAGAGTCAGATCTCTCAGGTCTTCTGGTCTGCTCTCTGTCCCCAGAGTCAGATCTCTCAGGTCTTCAGGTCTGCTCTCTGTCCCCAGAGTCAGGTCTCTCAGGTCTTCTGGTCTGCTCTCTGTCCCCAGAGTCAGATCTCTCAGGTCTTCTGGTCTGCTCTCTGTCCCCAGAGTCAGATCTCTCAGGTCTTCTGGTCTGCTCTCTGTCCCCAGAGTCAGATCTCTCAGGTCTTCTGGTCTGCTCTCTGTCCCCAGAGTCAGATCTCTCAGGTCTTCAGGTCTGCTCTCTGGCCCCAGAGTCAGATCTCTCAGGTCTTCAGGTCTGCTCTCTGTCCCCAGAGTCAGATCTCTCAGGTCTTCTGGTCTGCTCTCTGTCCCCAGAGTCAGATCTCTCAGGTCTTCTGGTCTGCTCTCTGTCCCCAGAGTCAGATCTCTCAGGTCTTCTGGTCTGCTCTCTGGCCCCAGAGTCAGATCTCTCAGGTCTTCAGGTCTGCTCTCTGTCCCCAGAGTCAGATCTCTCAGGTCTTCTGGTCTGCTCTCTGTCCCCAGAGTCAGATCTCTCAGGTCTTCAGGTCTGCTCTCTGTCCCCAGAGTCAGATCTCTCAGGTCTTCTGGTCTGCTCTCTGTCCCCAGAGTCAGATCTCTCAGGTCTTCTGGTCTGCTCTCTGGCCCCAGAGTCAGATCTCTCAGGTCTTCTGGTCTGCTCTCTGGCCCCAGAGTCAGATCTCTCAGGTCTTCTGGTCTGCTCTCTGTCCCCAGAGTCAGATCTCTCAGGTCTTCTGGTCTGCTCTCTGTCCCCAGAGTCAGATCTCTCAGGTCTTCTGGTCTGCTCTCTGTCCCCAGAGTCAGAACTAAACATGGAAGTTTAGTTATTATGCTCCAAACATCTGGAACAAACTCCCAGAAACCTGCAGGTCCGCTGCAACTCGGACTACATTTAAATCCAGCTGAAGACTTTTCTTTTTGGCTGATGCTTTTAATTGAACTTTCCACATGTTGTTGTGTTATTCATGTTTTATTGTCTTTGCTTTTTAATGACTGCTTTTAAATGCCATTTTAAAATATGTTTCTGCTGCACTCTTTCTTAATGCTCTTAATGTCTCTCATTTCTGGAGAGCACTTTGAATTGCCTTGTGTTGAAAGGTGCTGTATAAATAAACTTGCCTTGCTAAGGATGAGATGAGGTCTGTTCCCCCGAGCAGCTTCCTACACAGAGGGGGAACATGATGTGTGTTCAGTTCCTAATTCACCCACTAGGTGGCAGGGGAGATCCTGAGATGATGTGATGCAAGTTTGGTGAAAACACAATCTGAAGAAGAGTTGAGAAAAGTAAAGAATTCTTTACATGACAGTGTGTGTGTGTGTGTGTGTTACGTTTTTTTACATTCTGTATTTTTATGTTTTTCTTTTACTCTGAAAGCAGTTCTTCTTCCATCACTGAGCATGCGCAGTGTGTGCAGAAGTTGTTGTGAAGTGGGACAGGAATACCCGGGTGGGGGGCGTTCCTGAACCTCGACCCCGCAGTGACGTCACACCTGTCCGCGCGCTGCCTGCCTCACACACAGGCTGAGCTCAGGTGTGTGACCAGCGGACTGTGAGCCCCTGGTAGTGTTTCCTTCCAGAGACGCTACAACTGAGTCTGGGTAGGTATGTGTGTGTGTGTGTGTGTGTGTGTGTGTGTGCGTCTGTGTTTGTTTGTGTATGTGTTTGTATGTGTGCGTTTGTGTGTGTGTGTGTGTTCCTGTGTGTGTGTGTTTGCGTGTGTGTCTGTGTGTTTGTTTGTGTGTGTATGTGTGTGCGTTTGTGTGTCTGTGTGTGTGTTTGTGTCTGTGTGTGTGTGTTTTTGTCTGTGTGTGTGTGCGTCTGTGTGTTCCTGTGTGTGTGTGTGTGTGTGTGTGTGTTTGTGTCTGTGTGTTTGTGTGTCTGTATGTGTGTGCGTCTGTGTTTGTTTGTGTATGTGTTTGTATGTGTGCGTTTGTGTGTGTGTGTGTGTTCCTGTGTGTGTGTGTCTGTGTGTGTTGTGTGTGTATGTGTGTGCGTTTGTGTGTCTGTGTGTGTGTTTGTGTCTGTGTGTGTGTGTTTTTGTCTGTGTGTGTGTGTGCGTCTGTGTGTTCCTGTGTGTGTGTGTGTGTGTGTGTGTGTTTGTGTCTGTGTGTTTGTGTGTCTGTATGTGTGTGCGTTTGTGTGTCTGTATGTGTGTGTGTGTGTTTGTGTGTCTGTATGTGTGTGCGTTTGTGTGTCTGTGTGTGTTTGTGTCTGTGTGTTTGTTTGTGTGTGTACGTGTGTTTGTTTGTGTGTGAATGTGTGTGCGTGTTTGTGTCTGTGTGTGCGTGTGTGTGTCTGTGTGTGTTTGTTTGTATGTGTGTGCATTCATGTGTCTGTGTGTGTGTGTTTGTGTGTGTGTGTTTGTGTGTGTGTGTGTGTGTGTGTTTGAGTCTGTCTGTGTGTGTGTGTGTGTGTGTGTGTGTGTGTGTCTGTCTGTGTGTGTGTATGTGTGTTTGTTTGTGTGTGTTTGTTTGTGTGTGTATGTGTGTGTGTGTGTTCTGTGTGTGTGTGTGTGTGTGTGTGCGTTTGTGTGTGTGTTTGAGTCTGTTTGTGTGTGTGTATGTGTGTGTGTTTGTATCTGTGTGTGTGTGTTTGTGTGTGTGCGTTTGTGTCTGTGTGTGTTTGAGTCTGTCTGTGTGTGTGTGTGTGTGTCTGTGTGTCTGTGTGTGTGTGTGTGTCTGTGTGTGTGTCTGTGTGTTTGAGTCTGTCTGTGTGTCTGTGTGTGTGTGTCTGTGTGTGTGTGCGTGTGTGTGTGTGTGTGTGTGTGTCTGTGTGTCTTTATTATATTGTATCTTTATATAAAGAGCACATTTGAACTTGACATGTTTGAGATATTTTATTCCATTGTTTATTTTTAATGGACCTTTTACTTCTTATTTGTATGTCTTTATTTGATACTTTCGGTGCACATGTGCACCAGGAATGCATTCTAACTTTTACTTCCTATAATTCCAATTGTTAGGGTCTGAGACCAGAGGTCGGTGAAGAGCCTATTGTAAACGCTCGCCAAGTGCCAGCCCTGCCAAACACACACAAAACAGGGAAAACGACCGGCAAAAGCACAGAACATTTTTCCGTAATCATGGCGGCAGATAGCGGACGAACCAAAATGCCTCTTGGAAGTGTGAAAAAAACCTACAGGAAGTCAGACATTTCGAATTTGGCGTTTTTCCAATGCCAAATAAAAAATGGCCGACTTCCTGTACGCCCTCCGTACTTCAGAGATCTCCTCCTAGGGATTTTATCCGATCAACTTCTAGTTTGGCGGGTAGCGTCTCGATACATGGGGGATGAAAAGTCATACAAATCTCAACTTTTCCCCACACGACGTAGCCGCGATGTGGCGCCGATATTCACGTTCGCTCGATGCTAGGCGATCCCTCGCCATGGAACACGATGATGTCATAAGGCCGCCAAACATCACATGATGGTTGACACTGCCGCCCCGAACAGCTCTACTTCAAATCTGAGGTTTCATAAAGTGCCGTTACCAAGGCTACGATGTCGCTGTAACTCCAATGGACACGATCCTATCGCCATCAAACTTCACATGTATATCATTGGTCCATGCCTTAACAGCTCTACGCTATATCTGAGGTCTCATCAAATGCCATTTCCATGGCAACGCATCCCTCACCGTAAAACACAATATTGCTTTAACTCCTATGAAACTGGTCAAAAAGTGGTCAAACTTCACATGTGTGCAAACAGCCCATCCCTGAAGACATGTACATGTCATTTTTGAAATGTTGTCGAATGCTGTTGCCATGGCAACACAATTCTCACCACGAAACACGGTTTTCTCATAACTCCAGGGAACATGCTCCAAACGGCCCAGTACTTCGGTCCTCAAGACATCTTAGCTTATTATGGGGTGTCATCATATGGCGTTGCCATGGCGAAGGATCACTCGGCATCAAACAAGATTTTTTTGTGCGTGCGTGTGTGTGCGTGTGTGTGCGTGTGTGTGTGTGTGTGTGTGTGTGTGTGCAGAGATGAAGAGGAGGCTCCTGCTGGTGTCTAACTCCACCGTGCACGGCAGCGGGTATCTGGACCACTGTCAGGGAAACATCTCACACTTTTTCGGACGGTACATTTCCTGCAGCTCTTCCACTTCTCGTCACCAGATCACTTTCCTAATAACATTTATACTGCATGTTGACCTTTAAGGCTGTGTACATGATGTAAACATTAAAAGACTTAAAACAAACAAACATCTCATAATAGAAAATAAAACAGAACTAAAGATTAAAATAGCACGAAAGATAAGACTGTCCGACAAGTACACACTATGAAGAGCCTAATCACGGCTAACACCGTAAAACACATTATGAATATTACTTAAAGTGTGAGCTTGGATGTAAACGTGCCTCTGTACAGTTTGAATGAACGTTTGTGTTTGTGTTTTCCTCAAGAGATGTGAAGAGAGTTCTGTTTGTTCCTTACGCTCTCCACGACAGAGACGCCTACACGAAAACTGCCAGAGACAAGTTCAGCAGTCTGGGTAGGTGTGTGTGTGTGTGTGTTCTATTTCGTATATGGCTTCGCCCTCTAAGGCTATCGCTATTGGGTTTACCCTTCTGCGCCCCCGCGCAGCACTGAAACACTTGTAGTCCACGCCCACCCGCTAGGTGGGCCCCACCCTCGGCCCTCCTTCCGGTATAAATAGGAAGGGGGCCCGGCACTCTGCTCCCTCTTTTCTTCAGCAACCAGCACAGTACTGAAGCACAGGAAAAGTCAAGTCATGAGCAACAACTGTGTCCGTGAGTGTCCCTCATGTAAGACGGGGTACATCATGAGCTATGACTTACACGCAATATGCAAATCCTGCCTGGGGCTAGAGCACGCGGACGCGGCTCTCAGCCAGCAGGTCGCTTGTTCGCATTGTGCCCGTCTCCCGTCAGCCGACAGGAAGCGAAGAGCGGACGCTCTAGCTGCTGTGGCTGAGGAGGACGATTGGCCCGTCCAGAACAGGGACGACGGCCTGTCTCTGGAGCCGAGTGCAGAGCAGGAGTCGGACGACTCCTACCCCGTCGCCCTCCATGGCTCGCCATGCGGCTCTCCCCTCCCCCCTCTCCCCCGGATGGGGGAGACGGGGTCGGAGCGAGGTACGGGTGTGACGGCCGAGCACGCGGTTTCCTTCTCCGTTGCCACGGCGCTACCGGCGTTGGGTGGCATTATGCTGGAGCTGCCGGAGATCATCGGCAAAGCAGCAGCATGCAGAGGTCTCCCCGTTCCCCCATGTACGCTTTCCCACCAGTCCCGCTGCTTCCTCGGTTCCTGGACCGAGTGCAGGAGGAGCGGCTGTCAGTGATCCTAATTGCCCCGGAGCGCACGGGAGCTTCCTGGTTTCCATGCCTACAGCGTACGCTGTCAGGCAGGCCGTGGGAAATTCCGTGGCACGGGGACGCTCTCTCGCAAGTGGAGGGAGCGATCTACAGTCACCCAGTGATAGGCCAGCCCTTATGGGCATGGCCCCTGAATGGGAACACTTAGAGAGGTTGGGTCTCTCTCAAGATGTTGTACGCACCATTCAGGGAGCCAGGGCCGCGTCTACCAGAGCGTCCTACACAGCCAAGTGGGCAGCGTTCCAGCGTTGGTGTGTAGAAAGAAGCCTGGACCCCATTACGTGCCCCCTGCCTCACGTGCTGTCATTCCTCCAGCTGTTGTTGGACATGAATTTGGCGTTCAGCACAATCAAGGTATATGCGGCTGCCATATCATCTTGTCACGTGGGTTTCGGAGCAGGGACGTTGTTCAGTCACCCCCTGACGAAACGTTTTCTGCAAGGGGTACGAAGACTCAGACCGGTGTCACGCGCACTGGCGCCTCAGTGGGATTTGGCTTTGGTGTTACGAGCACTAAGCAAAGCCCCATTTGAACCTTTAGAGCAGGTTCCCCTTAAAATGTTATCAGCCAAAGTAGCTCTGCTTTTGGCTCTAACATTAGCAAAAAGGGTGAGTGATTTATCCGCTCTCTCTGTGGCCCCGTCATGCCTCCGGATCCAAGGAGATGGCAGTTCGGCTGTGCTACGTCCTAACCCAGCCTTTATGCCAAAGGTCATCACAATCTCCTTCAGGTCAAGAGTGATCACCCTGGATGGGTTTTTTCCGCTTCCTCATAAATCGGAGGAAGAAGCCACTTCTCATCTCCTCTGTCCTGTGCGCGCGCTGTCCTGCTATGTGGCGCGCACGGCGGCCTGGCGCCGTTCTCAGCGCCTGTTTGTGCACTATAGAGAGCGCTCGATCGGGCAACCTCTGTCTGCACAACGGCTGTCACACTGGCTGTGTGAGGCTGTGTCACAGGCATATGTCTCATCTGGGGTGGAGGACATATTCCACCAGAGGAATTTCCTCCTCCACAGCGTTGCACGGAGGAATGTCAGTGGAATATATTTGCACTGCTGCATCTTGGTCTTCCCCCTGTTCATTTATTTGAGGGATGTCTCCCTTTCCTCTCTAACGCACCCTGTACTGGGGGTCCTGTCGGAGTGAGTGACGTCAGGGAGCCAGCTGTGCGCCTCTCTCTTGCCTCTCGGCACGCGGAGAGCGGCCCTTTTCCCCTTGTATGAGAGGGATGTTCCCTTTACTCTGACACACTTTGTACGGAGTGCCTGGTCAGAGTGAGTGACATCAGGGATCCAGCTGGGCGCTCTCCTGCCTGTCTGACAGCAGAGAGCTGCTGTTCCCCCTCTATGATCGCAGGACAAGGTGGGACCTTCATCTCTACTTTCTCACAGCGGTCGGTATGTATTGTTCCCAGCCTTCACCCCGTCGGGAAGCTAGGCATGTTTTGCTATGTTCCAGGGACTGTGAGGCGCCATTACACATGGCACAACAGGCAGGGGGTGTTATTGAGCAGGTGTGTCTGTGCTTCTAGTGCCGGGCGGACCCAGTGGGGCGCAGACTACATCATGCTTCGCCCTTAACCCAATAGCGATAGCCTTAGAGGGCGAAGCCATATACGAAATAGAACTGAGGTTACCTACTGTAACCCAGCTTCTATGAGTAAATGGCGCAGCCCTCTAAGCGCTGGGCCCCACTGGCTCTACGAATAGCTGAAGAAAAGTTATATTGTATGGGAGCAGATTGCCGGGCACCCTTCCTATTTATACAGGAAGGAGGGCCGAGGGTGGGGCCCACCTAGCGGGTGGGCGTGGACTACAAGTGTTTCAGTGCTGCGCGGGGGCGCAGAGGGATAACCCAATAGCGATAGCCTTAGAGGGCTGCACCATTTACTCATAGAAGCTGGGTTACAGTAGGTAACCTCAGTTATATTGAATATTTTATAATAATAATAATAGTATATTTTATTTATAAGCGCGCTTTTCATTTGGGTAAACAAAACTCAAAGTGCTAATGTGTATTTTTCCTTTGTGTCCGTGCATTAGTTTATAATAAACAAAATGATGTTATTTCCCAATGATGCTGTGTTTGGCCCCTGCAGGTTACGAGGTGGACGGGATCCACGAGGCCCCGGACCCCGTCGCCGCTGTGAGGGAGGCTGACGGGATCTTTATAGGTGAGGAGCAGTTGACGTACCTGTGGACGAACCTGTGGACGAACCTGTGGACGAACCTGTGGACGAACCTGTGGACGAACCTGTGGACGTACCTGTGGACGTACCTGTAGACGAACCTGTGGACGTACCTGTAGACGTACCTGTAGACGTACCTGTAGACGTACCTGTGGACGTACCTGTGGACGAACCTGTAGACGAACCTGTAGACGTACCTGTAGTGTAGACGTACCTGTGGATGTACCTGTGGACGTACCTGTAGTGTAGACGAACCTGTAGACGTACCTGTGGACGTACCTGTGACGTACCTGTAGACGTACCTGTAGACGTACCTGTAGACCAACCTGTTGATGTACCTGTAGACGTACCTGTAGACGAACCTGTAGACGTACCTGTAGATGTGAATGTCGGTGTGTGTGTTTCAGGAGGAGGAAACACTTTCCGACTGCTGAAGAGTCTCTATGACAACAAGGTGCTGACAGAGATCAGGAAGAGAGTGCTGGAGGTGAAACACACACACACACACACACACACACACACACACACACACACACACACACACACACACACACACACACACACACACACACACACACACACACACACACACACACACACACACACACACACACACTGTGTATCTCAAGGGGTTTATCCCAATGAATAAAACATTCTATATATGAGGAGTTCTTTTCCAAAACGCTATAAACGCCAAATTGAAAAAAATGGAGTTTGTCGTGCCATTTTGCTGTGTACTGAACCTATTCACTGCTCTATCAACGTTTCATGCCAAATCGCTATATATCCTTGTTTAACACGTACGGCAAGATGCAGTTCCTTTCCAAACCGCGATAAACGCCGAACCTATTTTGAGCCTAAACGCGATATATCCTCTCTACCAATCAGAATTCGGTGAGCGTTCTATGCAATCCAACATGGCGGCGCCCTGAGTCGAGGTTTGTTTATGTTCATTCAGTCTTCGAAATATGTCTTTAAACTGTTGTAACATCTTTGATGGCCTGGATGAGCCAGTGAGACCTACACCTGGGGGTAGAAAACGTCGACTGGATAAAGAAAACCACAAAAAACAACAACAAAAGAAGGTTCGTCACTCGGGTGGCGCGTTAATACCGACTGTGGGATGTCAACACAAAGCTGCTGCGAAAGGTTTCTGTCAGGCCGAGAAGCTGTCACCAGACGACCTGATGATGAACTTCAAACATTTCTATGAAAAACCAAACAAGGTTGACCAGGACCGGGCTATACTTCATCTCCTGGACATCACGCAAGTGAAAAGGAAGCGTCCGAAAGTTCAAGACGTAAACAAACAAAAAGACCGGAACGTATCTGTAAAGTTCAATCTCCTGTGCAACAGTCACCCAGAGAAGGTTCCCGTTTGCAAGGCGACCTTCATTAAAGTGTTTGCTGAGTACAACTTTCGTTTCAGGCCTGCTAAGTGGCCTGCTGGCCTGAGGATTTTACGTTACGTGTATTGTTGTTGTTGTTAGCATCTGGGGCCTATTCTACGAAGCTGGTTCAACCTAATCTGGATATGTTTGAGTTAGCCGGTTGGCCTAATCCAAAACATACGCGCTCTCGCTAAACTGTCCTATGACGCGGGTTATCAAGTGGATCGCTCAAGCCAGCCGTTTCCTATCTAGTTAGGTGCGCGTTCACATGAGAGGGGTGGTATCTGGAGCATTCGACCAATCACAAACATGGAGAAGCGTACTGACAGCGCAGCGTCATACTTCCGGAATGAAAAGTGAACTTTAATACTAGTCAAAAATGAAGAAGTTAAACTTTAAACATCCATGACTTAAACACTTGATCCAGGATAAAAGCCACAGAGCTGCACCTGCAAGGTGAATACAGCTGGTAACAGAACAAGTGTTTGAATGCGTACATTAACAGGTTTATGATATCACTGCCCGTCTAAGACACCATCTGACTTTCATTACATTTGTCTCGAGTGTTTCCTCAACTTAATGTGTTGCTTAAAATAATACTTCTGCATCCAGTCTGTGACGCTGTGAGTGTTGCACGGCCAGATACGGCTCAGCTGACTCAGATCAGGAGATGATACATTATGAAGTGATATGCCGCGGACTGTACTTAATGTGACTCTGATCCGGTTACTTATGTTGTGGCAGATATTTAAGTACGCTTTCTTAACGCTAATGTTATAATAGTCAGATTGCTCTGAAGATGGAGCTGATATTCTATTCATGTTCACGTCCACACAGTCGGTGATTTTGGCCGGCCGTCTTTCCTGCGACGGCAGCTTTTCTGTATTTCCTTTCTCCTGTAATATGACTTGATCGCTTTAAACTCCGCACACTGAGCTCTGATTGGTCAGCAGGCAGTGCTTTCACTGAGTTGAGCTCTTAGCCTGCAACCTAACCTGGTTCCGACCAGGTTAGCCGCTTAGCATAAGTTACCATGGAGATCTAGCCGCTAAAAAGAGAACCAGCTTCGTAGGACCGGAAAGCCGGAGTTTTCCCTGAATTTAGCCGCTAAGAGAACATCAGGCTTCGTAGTATACCCCCCTGGTGCTAGCTAGCGGCGCTAATGGATATAATGAGCTGTCAACAAGGTGGAGAAGAGTCCTCTCCTGTCAGACTGAGAGACTGATAACCTCAGCTCAGGTGAGGTAAAGGACTCTGAGTGTTTAGATAGTTAACTTAGTCTAAGTTATCTCAGTGGGTCTCAAACGGTTTGGTCACCATTTATGTAAACACATATTTCCATTTGAGGGGGGAGTGATTAGTAAAATATGCATGAATAATACAAAAAAAAAAACGTTAACTAGGTGAAAAAAGGTAAGATAAACTTTAAAAACTTGTTGAGAGCTAAAACTAGTCTTTGCTGCTGCCTCAAAGAGGAGCAGGGGGGAGAGGAGGGAGACGAGAGAGGCTGGTTCAGGAGCACAGACACACTCACAACTATAAATGAACCAAAAACAAATAAATAAACAAGTTTCAATGTTTTTTCATATTGGATATGGGATGTTATTGGTTATGGCCATGATTTTATGATTATTTAAATGTATACAGTTCTGTTTCATATGGGTGTAGTCTCTTTATTTCCCCCTCAAAATGCACCAGATTCATGCATTTAAGTCCAACATTTACACATTGTGTGTGTGTGTGTATGAATATCGTTATCATTACTTTTTACAGGTTCAACACTTTACTGAATGCCTTATTGAATGTATTACTGAATTAGTTGCCTATTGAATATCGTTATCATTACTATCATTACTTTTTACAGGTTCGGCACTGAATGACTATTGGCCTAAATGTGTTACTAAATGATTTGAATGTATTTTTAACATTGTTGTAATAGTGGTATTTGTATGTGTTATATATTGTTATAAATTGGACAATATTGAAATGTGAAATTGCAAATATTTATTTTATTTTACTATTTAGTTTATGTTACTATTTATTTTATTTGGGTTTTATTTATTTCATGTATTTGCACTTATTTGATTTATATTCATGTATAGTATGAGTCCCTTATCATATGTTGCATGTTCTCGTTTAAAAAAAAAAGACATAAACCATCAATTAAAAAAAATGCATGGATTTATAGCGTTTTGAAAAATAAACAAAAACAAACTTTGATTTAATCAAAAATATTGTTGTTTGATTTAATAATCATTGTTCAATATGTTCAGACTGAGCCAACAAACCATTTTAACAGGATACATTTAATATTAACAAAATGTGTGAGTCTAGGTAAAAAATGTCATTTTACTGAAAACTATTAAAATGGATATATAGCGTTTTGGAAAAGAACTCCTCATATACACACACACACGTCCATGGCAGCAACATAAATCTACTCACTCACTCACACTTTGCGCCCCCCTCCCCAGGATGGTGTCCCCTACATGGGTTCCAGCGCCGGCACCAACGTGGCGACGGTCAGCATCAACACCACCAACGACATGCCCATTGTGTGCCCGCCCTGCTTCTCCGCCCTGAGCCTCGTCCCCTTCAACATCAACCCCCACTTCCTGGACCCCGACCCCCACAGCCGCCACATGGGGGTGCGTCACAAAACTCAATGAGCAAAAACCCTATTTACTTTATTTTCAGTTGTTTGTAGTTAATAATCTACTCACCAGTGTAAGGAACCTGGTCATGTTGAGTACCCCGACGTTTTATCAGAATCAGAAACAGGTTTATCTCCAGGTGGGTTGGCACGTACGAGGAATTTGACTTGGTGTCGTGGTGCATACATACAAGTAAAACAGAAATGTAAAACACAGATAGAAAACTATTTTAACAAAACTATAATAACATATCAAAAATATAGTAAAATATAGCAGTATTTACATTGAAATAGAATGAATAAAAATATGTGCAGTTATACAAAAACAAGATATTGTGTGCATCAATTATGATAGAAATGTACAGTAGGGTCTCCAACACATAGAAACTGCCGGATGCTAACCTGCATATGTTGGGCAATTTGCACAATTAGCATCATGCAGTTATGGCTTGGACCATTTTGGAGTGTTTTTGGACGTTATTGAGGATGTTGAATACATTTCTGACATTTTCAGCATAAAAAATGGCAGTTTGAAGTCCCCTAAAACTATCAAATGGACCCGAAATGTATCAAAAGCAGCTCTGTGAATATGGCATAGCAGGTAAACAAAACTAAAGAGGCATGCCATCACAAAGAGTAAGCTAACTTATTAAATATAGAGAAGAAAAGCACACATTAGTCATAGAATAAAGACAAATAAGTACACATCCGTGGCTCGAAATGAGAAGCAGCAACATAAAAAAGACATAAGGTGTTGAGGCGTTATTCAAAACAAGTTATCATCGCACCGTGGATTGCAACAGAAAGTGTCTGCACTGCAGCAAAGTAAGAATACTCTATAAAACCCTCATTAGTTGATTATGTTCTGCTTTACAGTATTAGTTAAGTTGTCTCCTATGATATAACTCAACTGCATCCTCAAAAGACGTTCTACGGATTGCAGTTTCTTTGTGTGAATGCTGAGAACTCTTCACACCATATGTTCTTCTACTGTTAAATCTGTAGACTCTCCTGATCTCCGTTCAGACACCAAAACGTTCAGCTCGATTACGAATCGACGGCTATTACTCCCGACATTCATAACTTTCAAAACACAAGTGTCTTTGAGCATTAGGAAAAGTGTTAATTCACCCACACGTTGGTATTCAGTTCAGCGTCAGCGTTTCAGCATTCACACGGCAATTTCTTCAGGAATCGCATCCTCTAGTTCAGTGGTTCTCAACTGGTGGGTCGCAGATGTGTGAGTGAAGAAAAAAGAATTGAAAAAAACATAATTTCCAAACTTTTATTTTGAAGGCCCGATTTTCTAACGCTGTGCATGAAGTCGGCGTTGGACTGGAAGTACCGGAGACCATCAACGGTTTTGAAAACTTCTGTCACGTAGTGATCATCTTTTCAATAAAACATCTTTGCTGATGTTTTTTCGAGTCTTCTGGCCAATCAGAATCAACAGTGTTGCCGGAAGTCCCCACGGAGAATAGCTTTGCGGTAGAACTCTTTATACATCCATGGGTACAACTTCAGATAGAAATGAACACATAATGAAATATGACCCCCAGTTTGATGACTGACAGGTCACAGAACAATGGGGGCTATCTACCCTTACCCACTATCTCCTCTTTGCTCTTCTCTCTGTGAGGAGCAGCAAGCTGTCAGAACAGTGAAAACAAACAATGGCATCAAATATTATTAATATGTCGGGTAGTAATATATTTATTTATTTTCTTCTCAGAGTACCAGAATGCGTAGTTTATATGTTAGTATTTCTAAAAATCTCCTGGGGGAGAATCCCCCCAGACCCCCTGCTGGGGTTGGGTTTCCAGCATGTGAGCCTTTTTATGTTAGTTCAGCTTTGATTCCATCATCTCATTAAACCTTTTTTAAAAGCATACTTTAGTTCTGTGAAGGGATATGAGGGAGATATGCACTGTACTTCACTTTCATTAATATTGTTTGCTGAAAAGCGTGTATATATATATATTACAGCAACATTTTTTGTTGAATAGATTTGAGTGGTTCAAAATTTCAGGTCGCGATTTATTGACTAGATCAGTGGTTCCCAAACTTGTTGTGCCCAAGGCACACCAAAGGACAAGTAAAAATCTCAAGGCACACCTATTGTGCAAAATAGCCCTTATAACACGTGTTATCACTCATATCATGTAAAATATCTGTAAATGTGCATAATTATTTACTAATGCCAAATAAAATGTGACAAAGACAACTATATTACTCATGAAATATTTATTAAAGAAATATTTCAGAAATTAATTTGAAACTGTATCAAATTAGGCTTCATCAAAGCAGCAACACACTCACACCAGACAGGTCACAACATTAAAAATGAGGCAAAGGAAACTCAGCAGAAATTCAGCACAGAGAACTGTCAATGCAAGGAAGCTGCATTGTCCATGGTCCTGAACTACACATTATAAATGTAACATTTCAGCAATCAGCATTGAAACATGTGCTATTGTAAATATTTTTGCGGACTTACAAATTAGTGAGATACATGTGCCTGTCGGGGCGCGCAGAATGTTTTAATCCTTGGTGGCACTGAGGAGAGGGCCACTCGCAAGTCCTGTTCAACAGAGAGCCGTGACCTCCTGTTGTTCTTCATGTAAACCAGAGTAGAGAACGCCAACTCCAGAGATGGGGTCGTTACTAAAAAAATACAATATATTACATATTACTTTAAAAAAAAAGAAGTAATATATTACACTACTTCGTTACTATCTACATAAAGTAACTCGTTACTTTACTCGCCGAGCACGTACGAACTGCGCATGCGTGAGTGGCAATAACTTTCCTTACCAGCAGGCGGCGGTAGTGTGTATTTGTCATTCAAAACAGGCAACAACCGGAAGACAGAGAAGAAGAACAGACTGCGTGATATAAACAAACAACACATAGCGTGTGCGGTAGCTTCACCTTAGCATGTGTTCTTTGCAGGTGCTTGTTGAGGTTTGACCACGTGGTGTTTCCAGCAGTGGATAACAGCTTCTGGCCTGGACACAGTTTGCACCTCACCGTCACATTCCTGTCTATTCTTCGGACGAACTCAAAGTAATGGGCATACCTCCACCCCTCGAGAGTTATCGCTGACTCAGCCATGTTTATGCAGCACTGCACGTGGAGATGTGGACGCGCAGGTCGCGCAGATTACGTAGGGGAGACCAGGGACAGTTGCAACACTTTTTGGGTTTTTTTTTGGATAGCCATTTCGCTATATTATACATTATCAATATGTCAGCTACTGAAACAATGTATTTAAGCTGTTTTTCTGAAATAAGTACAGGTTGGAAAATGTATTTTTTTTTAAAAACTCAACTGTTACAACTGTCCTTGTGTACAGGGACAGTTGTAGCACATGCCAGGCACGGTTGTAACATGTTAATAACGGTTACCTTTTTTCACACTACATGACAAAAAATAGGGGAAAGCTGTCAAATTAGATAACAAGATTTTAAATGGGGTTTCACACATCCTCCATCAAACAATGAACAATGAACAGAACTTAAAACAGAACACCAGAATTAATCAGATTCACAGTTGTGGCAGGTGTAAAAGGCACTTCCATCTGTGCAGTCCTTGTGTGCCCAGGCTTTACAGGAGCAACACTGCAGCCAGATCTCCTTGGACCTGGAGTAGCTCTCCAGGCACACAATGCAGTATTGGGCCTCATCTTCATCAGATGAGTCCTGCATCTTCTGCTTCTTGTTGGGGGTTTTTTTGTTGCAGAAATTGATTTTTTTCTTTGCTTTACACTTCTTTGCGTTAGATCTTTTTTTCTCAGCCTGGAGTAGATTTTTCATAGGAGTGTCTGTGAGGACAGCGGTTTCTCTTCTTTTTCTCCCCTTTGTGGTCTGCTTCCTTGGTCCAGCTTTTGGATGTGGACGGATGGACATGGGTGAGAAAGGCGTTGCAGAGGATGATGTCCCAGGCTCCACACATGGCCTGACAGGGGAGGAGGCTGCGAGTAGAGGAAAGGAGGCTGTGAGTGGAGGGGAGGAGGCTGCGAGTAGAGGAAAGGAGGCTGTGAGTGGAGGAGAGGAGGCTGCGAGTGGAAGAGAGGATGCCACAGTCGGTGTTGGAGCTGCACTGGTAGAAGGCTCTGGTGGTGGGCGGTCTGTGACTTGGGATGGCATAAAGTCGATGTCACTGAAAGTATCTCTATTAAAAGGCCAAATTCCAGTGCACGCGAACCCTGCCTGGATATTTGATGGCGTTGCAGCATGAGGAAGGGCACTCTTCACAATGCCCGGCAGATCGTAAATGGTCATTGTGGATCCTGGATGAGTCTTCATCCAGTTGTCACAGCGGCTGTTGATGTGCTTCTTCAGTGGCCCGTATACAGTGCGATCTAAGGGCTGTAGTTTGTGAGAACAGTGGGGAGGAAAAGAGAGGAGGATGATCCCATGGCTCCTGCAAAAATCAATCCCCTCCACAGAAAGGTGGGAGGAATGATTGTCCAGAACCAGCAGCACTTTTGACTCCTGTGAGCTCTTGGTATGGCTCTGGAAGTGCTTGAGGAAGACCACAAAGTCTTCCTCTTGCATCCACCCAGACCCATTTGCTGTGCCAATACAGCCAGGAGGGCCATTGCTGGTGAAGAAGGGCTGAAACTTCTTCCGGGGGAATATCATCATTGGAGGGATGGAATTCCCCAATGCATTTACAGCACATGCAAGTGTGATGAGAGTGCCCCGCTCTGCAGATGTCACACTGCCGACTTGTTTGGTCCCTTTTCTGGCCACAATCTTCCCAGGGTTTTGGACAGTTGTGACTCCGGTTTCGTCCATATTCCAAATGTCCTGTGTGACAAAACCATGCTTCGTCAGGAGTGGACAGCAGACAGGTTGTCAAAAAACTTGTTGACATTTGTTCGGTTGAAGCTTGTAGCCCGTGAGAGACTGGTAGCCTGAGGTCTGCGTATGGAGAGGGTAGGGTGCCGCTTCAAAAACGTTGTGAGCCACTCAGCTCCGGCCATCTCTTTCTCTGCCCAGGTTTGAGGGAAGTTGCATTCGTAGTTCTTTGCCAATTCATAGGCAAACTTCCGCACCTAAAATGAATATACATTGGAAAATATTTCACTTGTCTGTTCACTAGGCCTCAACATATTTGATCACTTACTTTTCTTTTGTTCAGTATAGATAGCCTATTATTCTACCTTAATGATGTAGACCTACCTCCTTTGAGCTGAGACCATAATACAAATCAGCTGCCTCCATCAGGTAGTCTCTCAAAAGCATCTCCTGCTCTGTTGAGAACACCTTCTTTGGTGTCCAGTAGCCTACTCTTGGGGGTGTTTGTGATCCCTGACTCTCCAACCTCAGCCTCCTCTTATGGAACCGGTACAGGGTGACATGGCATAGACCAGGGACTTTGCCACTTCCCTGAAGGATTTGCCCTTCTGCACTTCATTTGAGGCCCTCTGTAGCAGAGCGAGTGGCCTGTCTTCCTCTTTCTGACATGTGGCATACTGTAAACACACGCACACGCACACGCACACGCACACGCACACGCACACGCACACGCACACGCACACGCACACGCACACGCACACGCACACGCACACGCACACGCACACGCACACGCACACGCACACGCACACGCACACACACACACACACACACACACACACACACACACACACACACACACACACACACACACACACACACACACACACACACACACACTTTAGGCCTACTGTACAGTGTTATATTCTGTTTATTTGTACAGGGACGATGCACACCAACCAACAATACAACTGTATGCTTGAATGAACAATTGATCATTCAAGCAAATGAGCCATCATTGTAAATGTGCCATGTTACAACCGTCCCGTTACAACCGTCCCAGGACCACCAGTCTTGCTTCCACCCCCTGTGAACCTGCCTGGTTGCTAGCTTGACCCATATTTAGCTAGTTATATTTGTAGCTTACAAAACAGTGATTCTAATAATACTAGTTTGGATTCCTAGACATTTGAACTCAAGACAGTATCCAAAAAATACATCATATCATTGTAGTTAATATTTTACCTCAGAAACACACTTTTGCTGATAACTTAAGCGAGAAATTCAAACGTGGCTCCTTTTTTTCTCAGCGATCTTACCATCTAACTGCGCATGTGCAGAGTGAGTTTCATCACTCTAGCTTGTTTGTGATTGGAGATATTGAAGGTGTTACAACCGACCCGTGTTACAACTGTCCCTGGTCCCCTACAAAGTACTGATATAGTAAATTAAAACATTATTTTTGTGTAGTTGTATATTGCAATAATAACGTATGGTTGTCACAAAATCCCACGGCACACCCGGACTTGCCTCACGGCACACCGTTTGGGAACCACTGGACTAAAGAAATAGTGGGTCTCGAGGCCTGACCAGTTGAGAACCACTGCTCTAGTTCCTGTCGCCTCCTTCCTGTGGTTCCTCTCTGCAACGTGAGATATACTTTACGACTTTACAGCAAGTGACTTAGAGTTGAAAACATAAAGGACTGATAAAAGGAAGCAACTGATAAACCCTCAGCCAATCAGAGCCAGCTAGATTATCACAAAGAGTTCAGTGTTGAGACGCTCAGCGATTTACTGCAGGCTTCTCTATAAACATCTGATTAAAGTCCTTCTTCATTTCACTGAGCCTCTGCAGCAGCTCAGGGAGCGGCACTATGTCAAAATACACCAATACAAGTACAAGTTAAAACCCTAATTAGTTCATTATCTTTAGAAGAATGAGCACTTACTATATATATATATATATATATATATATATATATATATATATACTTGGAGTACGTACTTTAAGTATATTTTGACTTTTATACTTTTACTTGAGTAACATTTTGAATGCAGGACTTTTACTGTACCAGAGTATTCCTACACTCTGGTACTTCTACTTTTACTCAAGTACAAGATCTGAGTACTTCTACTTTTACTCAAGTACAAGATCTGAGTACTTCTACTTTTACTCAAGTACAAGATCTGAGTACTTCTACTTTTACTAAAGACAAGATCTGAGTACTTCTACTTTTACTCAAGTACAAGATCTGAGTACTTCTACTTTTACTCAAGTAAAAATATCTGAGTACTTCTACTTTTAGTCAAGACAAGATCTGAGTACTTCTACCTTTACTCAAGACAAGACCTGAGTACTTCTACTTTTACTCAAGACAAGATCTGAGTACTTCTACTTTTACTCAAGTACAAGATCTGAGTACTTCTACTTTTACTCAAGACAAGATCTGAGTACTTCTACCTTTACTCAAGACAAGACCTGAGTACTTCTACTTTTACTCAAGACAAGATCTGAGTACTTCCACTTTTACTCAAGTACAATATCTGAGTACTTCTACTTTTACTCAAGACAAGATCTGAGTACTTCTACTTTTACTCAAGTTCAAGATCTGAGTACTTCTACTTTTACTCAAGTACAAGACCTGAGTACTTCTACTTTTACTCAAGACAAGATCTGAGTACTTCTACTTTTACTCAAGTACAAGATCTGAGTACTTCTACTTTTACTCAAGTACAAGATCTGAGTACTTCTACTTTTACTCAAGTACAAGATCTGAGTACTTCTACTTTTACTCAAGACAAGATCTGAGTACTTCTACTTTTACTCAAGACTAGATCTGAGTACTTCTACTTTTACTCAAGCACAAGATCTGAGTACTTCTACTTTTACTCAAGACAAGATCTGAGTACTTCTACTTTTACTCAAGCACAAGATCTGAGTACTTCTACTTTTACTCAAGCACAAGATCTGAGTACTTCTACTTTTACTCAAGTACAAGATCTGAGTACTTCTACTTTTACTAAAGACAAGATCTGAGTACTTCTACTTTTACTCAAGTACAAGATCTGAGTACTTCTACTTTTACTCAAGTAAAAATATCTGAGTACTTCTACTTTTAGTCAAGACAAGATCTGAGTACTTCTACCTTTACTCAAGACAAGACCTGAGTACTTCTACTTTTACTCAAGACAAGATCTGAGTACTTCTACTTTTACTCAAGTACAAGATCTGAGTACTTCTACTTTTACTCAAGACAAGATCTGAGTACTTCTACCTTTACTCAAGACAAGACCTGAGTACTTCTACTTTTACTCAAGACAAGATCTGAGTACTTCCACTTTTACTCAAGTACAATATCTGAGTACTTCTACTTTTACTCAAGACAAGATCTGAGTACTTCTACTTTTACTCAAGTTCAAGATCTGAGTACTTCTACTTTTACTCAAGTACAAGACCTGAGTACTTCTACTTTTACTCAAGACAAGATCTGAGTACTTCTACTTTTACTCAAGTACAAGATCTGAGTACTTCTACTTTTACTCAAGTACAAGATCTGAGTACTTCTACTTTTACTCAAGTACAAGATCTGAGTACTTCTACTTTTACTCAAGACAAGATCTGAGTACTTCTACTTTTACTCAAGACTAGATCTGAGTACTTCTACTTTTACTCAAGCACAAGATCTGAGTACTTCTACTTTTACTCAAGACAAGATCTGAGTACTTCTACTTTTACTCAAGCACAAGATCTGAGTACTTCTACTTTTACTCAAGCACAAGATCTGAGTACTTCTACTTTTACTCAAGTACAAGATCTGAGTACTTCTACTTTTACTCAAGTACAAGACCTGAGTACTTCTACTTTTACTCAAGTACAAGATCTGAGTACTTCTACTTTTAATCAAGTACAAGATCTGAATACTTTTACTCAAGACAAGATCTGAGTACTTTTACTTTTACTACAAGATCTGAGTACTTCTCCCTCCTCTGGTAATACTTGTGTACTTTAACCACTTGTAGTGCCGCTCCCTGAGCTGCTGCAGAGGCTCAGTGAAATGAAGAAGGACTTTAATCAGATGTTTATAGAGAAGCCTGCAGTAAATCGCTGAGCGTCTCAACACTGAACTCTTTGTGATAATCTAGCTGGCTCTGATTGGCTGAGGGTTTATCAGTTGCTTCCTTTTATCAGTCCTTTATGTTTTCAACTCTAAGTCACTTGCTGTAAAGTCGTAAAGTATATCTCACGTTGCAGAGAGGAACCACAGGAAGGAGGCGACAGGAACAACTGCTACGGTCATCAAAAATCAATGCAGCGTCAGCAAATGGAAATACAGTTACAGTTCAGGCTGAATGTACTGTGGAGGTCCGCCTCTATAGAAACACTACATGCTGACATTAAAACAGATTTCAATTTACTTTATTGATTCCAATTTGGGAAATGATTTGGTTACAGCAGCATGTTTAAAATGTAATAAAGTAGTATATTAATGAGGAAACATTTGTGGAAAAGTCAAAATGCTACATCAGCAATAGAGAGGTAGAGATATTTACCTCCATTAGCATGACTATTGTCTCATTATACTATCGTGGTTATTACTCAAACAGGGTGAATGTTTTCTGAGTGTTAAAGCTATTTGTAAAAACGGCTTCAGAAATCAACTATGTTTACTATCATGAGCCCGAGGTGACGTTTTAAACCAGAATGAGTCCCTGAGGGAGGATTAGTCAAATGAAGCCGCTGACGTCACTTCTTCTTCTTCTGCTTTGGGTTTACTGGCAGGCCGCAAACCACTTCACGGCGTATACTGCCACCCGGAGTCCCCGGACGGACGTCCCCGGAGTTGGGGACTGGCTTCAGTCGAAGCTGCTGGGACTCCCAGCAGCTTCGACTGAAGCCTTCAGAGCAAATCGCCAGAACGCCGACACCTCCTCATCTCCACCGCTCCCATGTTTTCTTTTGTGTTGCCATAAGTTAGTCTCTCTGTGTTTCTTCGCTGGGCTAATGCTAATGCTAATGCGAGGATAATAAAATGGCGGCTTCACAACACTTTTTGGGAGTTTTACGGGGCGTGGTCTGCAATCCGCCCAGGCAATCAGAAATAGGAACCTTTTTCTCCCACGAAAGTCCCTGCTCTCTAGCAGGGACGGAAAAGGGGGTAAAAAGGTTCTCATGAACTAATTTTAGTTCCGGCTCTTTTTGGTGTGAACGCAACATTTCGGAACTATGTCGGAACTAAAGTGGGAAAAGTACTGCGATGTGAACGTGCCTATTGATACTTACACGTTTAGTTCAGCAGGATAATCTCCACATATTAACACCACTTAAACTCTAATGCTAACTTTATACTGGCTGTTTGAATCCCTCAAAGCATTATGGGAAGTGTTGTTTTTGTGCAGGAGAGCAGAGAGCAGAGGATCACCCAGTACCACGAGGAACCAGATACTCCAAGTGTCCTGGTGAGAATGTATTCCTCATTTCACCTGTAAATAAAAACTCAAATCTTCTTCCATGATTACACAT